AAGGAATTCAATTTTTTCAGTTGAGTAACGCATTTCTGTTTTAATTCGCGGATGTAAGTTATTGGACATTTCGTGAAATTTTTTTAATTCATCTAAACCATGTTCCCATATTCCCCAGATGTCATCAACATATATCCAATATGAAAACGGGTGTAAATTGCTGTTTTGAAATTAATTTTCTTCCCATTGTCCGAGGTAGGTGCAAGCAGAAAGTTTTTAATTTTGTCCACGCTGTGCATAAAATAGGGAAAAAAATAAGGCTGAAAATGCACCAAATATTTATATTCAATATGAATATTCACATTTTGTCTATTACAACAACAAATTGTTCAAAAATGTTCTCCATAGTACCCTACCGGTTTCACTGTTTAACAGATCTTCAAGGATATTTGATGCATTTTCAGCCTTATGTTTTTTCCTATATATATTTATATATATATATATTTTGGGCTTGTATTATATTTTCCCTCGGGTTTATATGATCCGTTCATCCTATTTCGACTCTTTAAAATTCAAGAGTCTATCCTAAATTGAGGTAAATTATATGGCCTTCCAAATACCGTTTCGATCCCTAACATCACCGAAGAGACATTAATTGTCGAAATCCGGATATGGTGTACAAAATTTTGCACCTCATGTTTGTGGTATACCATCTTATCGGCAAGTTTATTGTTTTTCTGTTCGGTATTAGATTAATATTAAGATCCTTTGTTACATCTGGTGATCAATTTATTTGGCAATCGCCAATGGCAGTCAGCAGGGTGTAAGAACATCAGTTGTTCGACCTACTTGTCAAATGCGTTTTGTTAAAATATACCTTTTCACTCATTTTGGTCTTTTGGAAAATGTTGTTTGTGCTGTATTTAGACCCTCTACCAAGAAATTTGTTTTGCATGCATATCCAACGCAATCATAGGTTTGAACGTTGTTTTCAATTTAGACTTGTTTATATATATATATTAAATGACTGAATAATAGCCAACGATAAATCTTACGGGGCGATGGATCATATAATTATGATACAGTACACTACAAAATATAATATATAACAAGTCCAAAAGGGTACAACATTACCAAAAAATAATAATAAAATGAACAAATGGTAAATATTTCGGATAACAGATATCCTTCATCAGTATGATCACGATGTAAAATGAATCATATCAATCTAATCTGATTATGAAACTACAACAATCTTGAAATTTATACAATAAAACATTCAAAACTGAGCATCATAGAGACGCTTGTACAATTCTAAATTTTTTTATTTAAGTAGGTTATATAGCTATTTTCAACATAGACGGCAAAGATATGTTTCAAATAAAAATAGTAATGTGCGATATGAACTGGTACAACTCTAAAATTTTAAAGGTGACCACAGTTAAGATGTTACAACATCGGTTGCGTGGAAATACATTCCCAATAAACAGCACTGACCGATCTAAGCTGGTATAATATTTTAAATTTGACAACGGTAGAGTAATTAAAACAGAGCTGCGCATTTAAACATCCCAAATAAATAGCAGTTTGATAATGATTAAAAAAATAATAATAAATTTTGACAAAGGTTTAATAATTGAACGTGACTGCGTACTAGTACATCCCTCCCAAATGAATAGAACCCTGTAATTTAAACTGGTATAATTCAAAAATTCCTTAAAACTGTAAGAGTCAAGTACGGAAGCCTTAGTTGCTCGGGAAGGGTTTTAGATAAGAAAGCTAAGGACAGTTTCCCCAGAGGGCATAAATGAAAAACCATAGAATGAGTCACTTATTTTCCCTACTATCACTCATTTTCCTACCATCACTCGTTTCCAGTAACTCAGGCTTCCTATGAAAAATCATAAACAACAACTTTATATCAAATAGATAAAGAAAGTAAGAATTTGAGTAAAATATTCTATTAAATAAACTGCGCATGAAATAAACCTGACGACTTCCTTAGCAAGGGGCATTAAGTTTTTCAAAATTTGAAATAGGCATTTTTTATAATTTATAACGAGCTGGTTATAAATAAGTATATAATTGCAGAAAGACGTTTTAAACTAGAGAGATGGTTGAACGCTAAAAAACATGTTTTACTTTACCACATTCTTTAGGAGCTGTAATTCAGCTGTTTTCCTTGGTTGTTGTTTGTCTTTTTGTTTTTAGTTTTTTTAGGCATTGATCAGGCCGTTGGTCATCTATTTTGAATTGAATTGATTTATAGTTTGTCATGCCGCGGTCTTTTACAGCTCACAATAGGTACGAGTTTTTTTTTTCTCACTGTTGAAGGCCATGCAGTACCTTATAGTTGTTTACACCCTCGCCCTTTGGTCTCCGGTGGATAGTTGTCACATTGGCAATCATTTTACGACTCCTTTTTAAATATCCTTGGTCATCTGCGGCATATAACAGTCGACCATAAAACTGAAGGAAACTTTAGTAACCTCTGCGAATTTGTGCATTTGGCATTTATATCTGTTTCTAAAACAAAATATGTGCCATTTAAAATCATTATAAACTAATCCAAGTGTCCTTTCGTGTCTGATTTGAATTTTTATACTATTTTCTTGCAAAACAATCTTTTTCATACTACCAATTCAAAAAATGAGATATGAAAAAGTACCAAATCAAAAAATGAGATATGAAAAAGTACCAAATCAAAAAATTAGATATGAAAAATTATCGGTTTTCCCAATGTTTATATCACTCTGATCTTCTCTTCATAACATTGCATATCGCGGCTTTGTGACGTCAAAGACGTTGACCCTCGACAGATTACCGACGTCATAATGAATGAACCGACGTTGATAAGTTTGACCCGAACTTATCACGTCATCTTCTGGTTTGCTGGTGAGACAAAGAAAAGCACTTGTTTCTGTCATACAAAATACTCATAACAATCCGATAAATCCATTATCAGATTTTCTTCATATTGATATTGTTAAATACCAGCTGCTCAGCACAATATGAAGCCTTTTGAACTCGTTCGATGCGCTCTCTCGACAAAAAAGCTTCACATTGTGACTCGCAGCTGATATTTCACAATATCAATAAAGCTTATCGCTATTTGGGAATCTGCGACACTTGACCTGAGAATTTGCGACACTTGAACTATTGACGTCATACAACAATCACTTTTTCTTTGTGTCGTCAGACATTTTCTATTATGAAGTCAAAATTTTACGGGAATCTTTGTGAAGTCCAGTAATGGCGGACAAATACCGATAAGGTGTATATGTAGACAACCTGATAATCGGTACGTACCAAATTCAAAAATGTGATACGAAAATACTGGTGAAATTCTGAAGACCTTTTTAGCTCACCTGGCCCAAAGGGCCAAGTGAGCTTTTCTCATCACTTCTTGGCTTCTCTGAAACTACTTAGCTAAATTTAACCAAACATGGCCACAATCATCATTGGTGTATCTAGTTTAAAAAATATGTCCGATGATCCCGCCTGCCAACAAACATGGCAAAAATAGAACATAGAGGTAACATGCAGTTTTTGGCTTATATCTCTGAAACTAAAGCATCTAGAGCAAATCTGACATGGGGTATAAATGTTTATTTGGTTGAGATCTATCCGCCCTTTCATTTTCAGACGAATCATACAACCCGTTGTTGGGTTGCTGCCCCTGAATTGTTAATTTTGAGGAAATTTTGCAGTTTCTTGTTATTATCTTGAATATTATTATAGATAGAGATAAACTGTAAACGGTAATAATGTTTCGCAAAGTAAGATCTACAAATTAGTCAAATGACCAAAATTGTCAGTTGACTCCTTAAGGAGTAATTGCCCTTTATAGTCAATTTTTAACAATTTTTCGTAAATTTTTGTAATCGTTTACAAAAATCTTCTCCTCTGAAACTACCGAGACAAATTTAACCAAATACGGCCACACTCATCATAAGGGATTTAGTTTTAAAAATGTGTCCGATGACCCCACCTGCCAGCCGACATGATTAAAAATAGAATATAGGAGTAAAATGCAGTTTTTGGCTTATATCTTTAAAACTTAAGCATTTAGAGCAAATCTGACGTGGGATAAATATGTACATCAGGTTTAGATCTATCTGCCCTGAAATTTTCAGACGAATCATACAACCTGTTGTTGGGTTGCTGCCCCTGAATTGGTAATTTTACGGAAATTTTGCAGTTTTTGGTTATTATCTTGTATTTATTATAGATAGAGATAAACTGTAAACAGCAATAATGTTCAGCAAAGTACGATCTATAAATAAGTCAATAATGACCAAAATTGTCAATTGATCCCTAAAAGAGTTATTGCCCTTTATAGTCAATTTATAACAATTTTTCGTGAATTTTTGTGATCTTTTACAAAAATCTTCTCCACTTAATATACTGGGCCAAATAGAATTAAACTAAGCCACAATTTTCAATAGGGTATCTTGATTTAAAAATGTATTTGATGACCCTGTCATCCAACCAACATGGCCGCCATGGCTAAAAATAGAACATAGGGGTTTACTATAGAAGTCTATTGGAAAATTGTAAAAAAAAACAATTTCAAATAGTCACAACTTGAAAACTAATTTAAATAATGATAAGGGGTCTTCAGTAACTATTGTAAGAATACAATGGAATGACCTGCTTTAAATTTAACTACTGGGCCAAATTAAACCAAACTTCGCCTCAATCATTATTAGGGTATCTAATACATATAATTCATTATGATTTTAACCTTATTTTATATGATTTCCAAAACCACAGTAGATACAGGTGAGCAACACATACTCTTGAGAGCCCCTAGTTAAACGTTTCTATGGCAACTGAGATATATAATTTTCAGAAGTAATCGCCTTTATTATTTTTGGATCTTCCTTCTATTCGTATTCGTTCGGACATTTATTTAAGCAATAAAATTACAAAAAATATGAATATAATCTTATATTGCTTTAACATATGCATTCTATAATTCTTTACTTAGACTTACCAGAATTGTCACTGAGGTTTATTTCAGTGTTTTGGATTATAACGTATATGTTTTATTATAGGTGCTTTCCTTATCCCGTATTCCATTATGCTGTTTATAGCAGGAATTCCTCTGTTCTTCTTAGAATTGTCACTCGGACAGTTTGCATCGCAAGGCTGCATTACGGTGTGGGCTGTAAATCCAATGTTTATGGGTATGTATAGAAATGTTTAGAAGTAAATTATTCTTTTTTTTATATCATTAAAACAGTTCCATTATTTCCATTCGATTTCTATGACTCTATTCACTTTCAAATTTAAACATTTTTAAATAGCAGGTCGAACTGGTTTTGTTCTTGCAAGTAACTTGTAATTTGATTATTTGTTTATACGTTACCATCATGCTTACAAATGTCTTGAAATCTGATCGTAAGCTTTCTTTAATTCTTTGATGTTTGATCATTAAGATATCATGTGCGGCTGACATGACAAGAAAAATTATCCGATAGAACATGCAGGGCTGTGATAATTGCAGAAGGTTCAAATTTTTGTTTGTTTTGCAGGAGTTGGATGGGCTATGGTTATGATCAGTGCTATAGTATCAGCATACTATAACATTATTATCATGTACTCAGTATATTACATGATGGCATCTTTTGTGTCCTTGGATACACAGTTACCATGGCATGAATGTGATCCTAAATGGGCATCGGAACTTTGTCGATCTGATCCATATCCGGATTTTAAAACCATGACAAATGAATCATTAATTCAACACGAAGCTATGAGTAAGATACATCCATATTTCATTTTAAAGTTAATCTTAACTGTATTGTAAATGACTATTTTGTACACAACCTTTTAACTCGTTTCTCGGAGAAGCTGAATCATATTTAAAAGTCTGTTAATAAAGGAACAATATTTGTGATATGGACACCACTGCCGAATTCCGGCATACATTTAATATCTTTTATAAGAAATAAACGCAATTATCCTTTTAGCGAAGTGTATCTAAAAGTAAACAAAGGTGAATTAAGAAAACTGAGGACACAATGAAGACTTATTCGCCGTTCAATGATGTTTGTGTTATAAACGCGAAATATCATGACCGGGAAGTACTCCAATCGGTGTAGGGAATGTATTTTATCATTTAATATTTTTTAAATTATTAAGATAAATTATTTGCACCTTTGTCTGCTTTATTCATTAATAATATTTCCAGTCATTAATATAGACACTTTTTCTTCGCGTAGGACTTAAAGATAAACCTTGCCTACGAGGATTGTTACCAAACATATCTTCGGCAGTTGGTTTCAATGTGACAATGATAGAGGACATACCTAATAATTTCTTAGTTAACAACACCACAAGCTGTGACTTGAAATTAAAAGTTCCTAGTGACGAATACTGGACGTAAGTGAAGACTTTTTTCTCCTTTTATCTTTGCTAAAACAAACATTTCTTATCTAGTAAATACACTCATATATAAATAGACACACAAAATCATACATATAAAAATGAGAAGATGTTCACATTTATGTCCATGAACTGATCCTCGTCTTTCTGTTTTCAAAGATTGCAGAAGTCATTACCATAAATTGTTCTATATATTTCCAGGCGATATGTGTTACGATTGCATGAAGCTGAAGGTTTTGGTGATATGGGTGGTCTCAGTTTGAAACTGACATTATGCCTACTTTTGGCATGGGTTGTTATTTTCTTCTGTCTGATGAAAGGAATAAAATCCTCTGGAAAGGTAATGATAAAATATATTTCTTCCTTATTTCATGAGAAGGTCGACGATGTTATTTTTCTGTTCCTTTTCTGAAACTGTTTGACGATTTTCAATGCAAGCTCCTTGTGCATTGAAATTGAAAATACTAGTGTATACAATGCAAATAAAAAAGTTTTAATCGTAGTAATCAAGACAGCAATTACAGCCTAGAAAAAAAATGCACACTTAATCACCTAAACAGCACAACAACATTCGGAAACGGTAGAACGAGATTTAAGAAACCTATAAAGCGGGTGGCGCCTGTTAAAACGTTTAAACCCGCTGCATTTTTATGCACCTGTCCTAAGGCAGGAGCCTGTTGTTCAGTGGTTGTCGTTTGTTGGTGAGGTTCATAAGTGTTTCTCGTTTCTTGTTTTTAATTTAGATTAGACCGTTGGTTTTCCTGTTTGAATTGTTTTACAATAGTCATTTTGGGGCCCTTTATAGCTTGCTGTTCGATGTGAGCCAAGGCTCCGTGTTGAAGGGCATACTTTGACCTATAATTGTTCACTTTTTATACATTGTGACTGGATGGTGTCTCATTGGCACGCATACCACATCTTCTTATTTATATTATCCCGATATTCTGGCACACAAATGCGACACAGTATTTGTTCCTAAGATAATGTAGAATACGGAGATGTGGATTATTGCATTTAAGAGCAAAGGGCAAACAGTTGAACAATAAATATAACTGGTCATTGTGGCCTTCAACAATAGGCAAAACATATACCGTATAGTACAATGTAAGCTATAAACGGGAAGACAAAATGTGAATTAATTCAATAGGGAAAAATTAACGGTCCGGTCTCTACAGTACTTCTACAATAAACAAAAACTAATTATGGAAGACAGCAGCCAACGACAACTGGAGTACAGGCGCAAGCTTTGGACAGACAGAAAAAGAATGTGGCGGGGTTGAACATTTTTATGAGCGCTAAACCCTCTAACTAAACTAGGATATTGGTAAAACAACACATTATTTGAACAAACTGAAAACATCAGTTGGAAAAAGCTTGATTCATCTCATCTTCGTTAGCCAAGGGTTACGATCCACTTCCCTCCTCTCCACCCTTGGCAGATTTAGCCAACATTTGTGATAACAATGTTGTGCCATCTATCGGTAGATTAAAGTCACGCCCATTCCGAATACATTATTCTTGACCAATGGTAGCACTTGAACTCTTCATTTTGGAGGTAAAAACACGGAAGCGTCTAGATTCTACACACTTGGTAAAGCAGGAAACGAAAATATACGTTGACATTCATGCATTTGTGCAAGAAAAATACACAGGAACTTCTATTAATTGATTAAAAACATTCAAATTGTCACTAAATATAGTCGTATGTTTAGGAATGTAAAGACTTGTTGCACAATAAGCACGTGGCAATTGTTTACATACACTTTCTGCATTTACACGTGATCATGTTATAGGCGCTTTTTGATTGGATGCAGCGAGTTTCGACTGCAACCAATGAAAATCATTACCTTGTGTCTCCGAAATTCTATCTCAATCCGCCAAGGGTGCAGAGGAGGGAAGTGGATCGTAACCCTTGGCTAGCGAAGATGGATTCATCTGTACCATTAAACAAAAAGAAAAACGAATACATCATACAACATCTCAATAAGGATTCTCATATCGATCGTGTGTAACGTTTGAGTTCTGTAAAGCGATTGAAATAAGATCATGTAAGATACAAATGTAGAGAAACAAATTTTACCTTAATTTCTGCAATTTTAGGAAAGAGAGTGAATGCGACTTTTTAAATTTTGTAAACGACATCAATATTAAAAACCGATATTAATACACTTTGGTGCAGGCACAATATTCACCAATGCACATTTTTAGTAAACAAATCAAATTTCACAATGACTTCATTCCCGAAAATAAACTTACCTTTATTTTTATTATGGACAATATATTTTTTCTTCTTTTTAAGTAAATTATAAATGAATAATTCATTTGTAACTCGTATATCACTTCTATAATTTCATCTCGCAGGTCGTATATTTCACAGCCACATTCCCATACATAATATTGATTGCATTGCTAATCAGAGGGCTCACCTTAGATGGATATGAGAAAGGTATTACATTCTACATGACAGCTGACTTTGAAAGGCTCAAAGAACCGAAGGTAACCTAATATCGCACAGTAACCAGTGCTTCGGTACTGATATAATGAAAATGCACTGTCAATTATGAGATTACATGTTTATTGTTTTTAAAGCTAAAATTGAAACAGCCTTACACAAAATTGACAAAAGACTATCTTACATGTTTTGTTTACACAGGTAGCGGGCGTAATCATATCGGATATCTTTGAATGTTGAATGCAGTCAGTTTGTTAGGATTTGTTGGATTGAGTCTTGTACTATTACTTCCATTTTGGTATTTGATTTATTAATTTTCCTCTTTCTTGATGTTTAGCAGTACGTTTTAATTGTATAGTGACAAGTGAACAATGATCTTCACAATGCATGTACAGTAAGAATTACAGAGATTCAAAAAAGTCAGAAATCAATTAAATGCTACATTTGAAGCATTTTTCTGGACTATAATCTTTAGTACATGTAAGAGCGGAAACGTTCATGTTGATCTTGACCGGTTTTTAAGATCAGTCGATGATATCAAATTTTTATTAAAAGTTGTAAGTCTTTCGGTAAAATAATGAATTGTTATAGAAGCAAGAAACAGCTTTTGACAAAATACAAATAACATTAAACATTCAAATTAACTGAAATATGACAGAACAAACCAGAATAGGCTGTAAAGTAAATGTCTGATTACTGCTTTACCGCAACGAAAAAGTTCAAACTCTTTTAAGGGTAACCGCTTATATATCCAGATCGCGATAGAATCAAAATGAACATTTCAGATAAAAACTTATGAGCGAGCAATGAAACAACCGAGACAATAATTATATATACATAAAGGACGAGATACAAAACAACCAGGGTCAAAAAAGAGTAGTGGAACCGTATAAGGTAAAGGTCAACTGTGACAAGTGGGTTGGAATCTGATTTTCAATGAAATTATAAGCATAATTGTGTCAATTGTGTATTATTCGACTATAATGCATGTATGACATTATATATACAGTACCGAATCACTGAATATACTAGAAAATTATCAAAATGTAAGCATATAAGGATCATGCTAGCATAAAATATGCAGATAAATGACTTGGAGAGAAGAGAGACACGCAACTGATGGTTGTAAATCTTTGTTAGTAAATAAAGCACTTTTTATTTATTTCAGCCTTTCTAAACACTTTCTATCATTAAACCTTACCATGAAAGCTTACAATAGAAGTTGGAAGTCCCAACGGTTTACATTTATAAGTAATTTATACACGGAAAGCTGTTAATCGTCTTATGTCAACATGCGTCAGGAAATGTAACTTTCGTATATAATAAGAACATAAGGATATGCCTGTACCAAGTCCGGAATATGACAGTTTTCATTTCGTTTGATGTGTTTGAGGTTTTGATTTTGCCATTTGATAAAGGACTTTCCGTTTTGAATTTTCCTTGGAGTTAGGTATTTTTGTTGTTTCACTTTTTAGTATAAACAAATTTCTCAAGTGAGGACTTATCAATATTATTGTATGCAATTCAATATTAAGAGTACCGAGGCACTGAATACATTTGTACTTTAAACATGAAAGCGTAAACGACCTGCATCCAAACAATCGTAGTGTTTCCCTAGTGATAGTTAACGAAATTGAACTTACCGAATTCCGTTTGAACATTCCTTGCTTTAATATAATTCACTTGAAATGCTCAGAGTTAAATAGTTTTAAAAAGTTAAAGTATGTTTGAATACATTTGAAGCCATACAATAACAATGGAACAAAAATGGCCAACGCGTCGATGGTAGTCTGTGTCTGAATGAATTGGAATCTTAGTTTTTGTATTATAATAGTGAATCAGTTTTTGTAGTTTGTTATTTTTTTAAAAAAGTAAGTAAAGTACTCTGTTGAAATTGAAACTTTCTGCAATTCAGTTTCTTAAGCAAAAAAACAGACTTATGAAACTTATTTCAAACGGGATAGCACATCCTAATCTTTACGGAGATGTTGTTTACCGAGCCCGGAAATTTAGATACGATCCTTTAAATAAGCTTATTCTAAAAGGTTAAAAATTCAACACTGTAATTAGATCTTTGAATATTGTTTTTTATTGGTATTAATATTAATTTTGTTATCAGTAAATTAAAATCAAACTAATTATTATTTTTATATACATATGCACACTAATGGCTCTACAATCAGTCGATGCCTAAATCTTGGCATTGCACAATGTCATGCTTTCTCTGACAGTTAATGACGTCTTTACACTAAATCCATAGGTAGTTGGATGTGTACTGATTGAAATGTTAGTCTTAGATGCATAATTTTTTTATTGGTTGTTATTGGCCTTGAACTAGCTGTCATTAACTGCGAGTACTCTCAGATCTGCACTTTTTGTTGCGAGGATGTATAAGTACCCTGCCACGTCCACTCTGTGTTTTAGTTAGATGTGTTTCTATTTGTATCCATCTTTTTCAACTGATTTTTATAGTTTGTTCTTACGTTGTACTGTTACACCACTGTCCCAGGTTAGGGGGAGGGTTGGGCGCCTTTTAACATGTTGAACCCCGCCACATTCGGTATGTGTCTGTCCCAAGTCATGAGCCTGTAATTCAGTGGTTGACGTTTGTTTCTGTGTATCATAATTGTTTTTCGTTCATTATATTGTACATAAATTAGGCCGTTAGTTTTCTCATTGAATTGTTTTACATTTGTCATTTCGGGGCCTTTTATAGCTGACTATGCGATATGGGTTTTATTTATTGTTGAAGGTCGTACGGTGACCTATAGTTGTTAATGTCTCTGTCATTTGGTCTCTTGTGGAGAGTTGTCTCATTGGCAATCATACCACATCTTCTTATCTTTATATTTCTTACTTATAATTATAATTATATTTTATTGTCATATAAACATTTTAGTGTTAGTTGACAATCAATAAACTATAAATTAAGAGACTTCTGTTCTCAGTTATAATGATTGTTTTAAAAAGGAGCCTTTGGTTTGCACATTTTTCATAGTTGTAAGATTTACTGGATCCTTAGTTATGTCTTCTGTGAGTCTTCCTCCAAAAAAAGACATAATGTTTATAATTCATCCTTTCTAATTTTTTAACACGTCCAATCATTATTCCAGAAAATGTTCAATAATTCAATGCTTAATAGGTTTTGTACTGTAACAATTAACTGTTTTCATCATAACTTTTTATCTTATTTAAGACTATATTATCTGTTTTCTATTCACTACTAATTTTTGAAAACATCTTTTAAAGATTTTACTTCTGTTAAAAATATTTTTATAATTATCGATTGTATCTAATAGATCTGAGTCAAGTGAAATATTCTTCACATATGTATACAAAGAATTTAAATACCAAGGGAGACGAGCGTTCGCAATAATTAAATAAAAATGCCTCTTTAAGTGGATGATTTGTATTTTGAGTATTTAGTCTTGCTAAATAAGATAAAGACTTAAAAATAAATGCTCCAAAGTCATTATTACTGATATGTTTCTATCTATTTATAAGGTATGGGGAGATGCTGCCACACAGATATTTTATTCACTAGGTCCGGCTTGGGGTGGACTTATGACGATGGCCAGCTACAACAAGTTTAAAAATAATACCGTCAGGTAAACTCTTGTCATTTTAGCGAGAATAACGCTGATAAAATTTATGGTTACATGTTTTTTTCTGTAATTTCATACATTTATTGATCACTTTGAAATATTGTGTTAGGAACAGTACATAAAACCTGATGATTTTACGTTTCGAATAGTATAATAAATTGCATATAAACTTCATTTATATTGACTTACGAAATTTAAGAAGTTAACACGTGTGTAACATGAATTTATAGGAATGGAAAATAAGAGACAGTTTCCAAATAACTGAAAAGAAAAAAAGTATTGCGATTGATAAACGATCAAGAAATCCTTGTGTAATGGTTTCGTGTATTTTCATTGAAAACATTTGTTCTATTAATCGCTTTGATGAGCTAACATGAACTATTAATATAACTCGCATTCCGTGACGTCATACCGTACAATAAGTTGCATTTTAGGAGATTAGAGGATACGCCTAATTATTAGTTCCCCCGAAAGGCCTTCACATTGAAAAAAAGACAGCGAATGACAATGTTAATGATCTTGCTTGAACAGTTCTCCGGTTATTGCACAGAAACAGCTAGTGTCGTCCATCCATCACACTACACAAAACGTTTAACCTACCAAGACAGCCTTGTATATTAAACATGAAGACAGAATACCGCACTAAATATTAAATTATGCAAATGAAAGCAAAACGTATCGATACTTTCTGTTTCCATTGTATCTTTTCTTCATTCTGTGAAAGAGATACTTGACATGAATACTCATTATATAATACACATATAATACAATATATTGAAGCTTTTCTTTAAACATAAAGCCGCCAGACTGAGGCCGCCATTTTAAGGAATTTTTTTCACGAAAATTAAGAACTATGAAGGAGTAATAAGTCTAAAATTTGTTCATCTCATATTTTTTTATTCTGTATTTACTTCGTTCAATAGATCTCGTAAAGTTTTTTTAACATTCATAAAACGATTAATTCTACAGTGTTGTATAAATAACAAGATATTATTGTACAAACTGACTTTCAGCATTTGTAAAACAATCTTTTCAATATGAGGAACTGGTGTATATGTTTTATGTTTAATATTAAAAATCCTTTGAAGTAGGATCAAGACTGCATAAAAAGCAAAAAAAAAACATGATTGTAAATATATAAATAAACATGTAATCAAACAACTTTTAAAATAGAATAATAGAATTTAGTTATAAATCATTATGCATTAAAGTTTTATCAGCACATCAACTTTTATAATTATATTAAATGTATTGCCATCTTTCAGGGATACATTTATTGTCGCGCTAACTAACTGTGCAACAAGCGTATTTGCTGGGTTTGCAGTATTTTCTCTCCTTGGATTCATGGCTACACAACTTAACAGAGAAGTTCAAGATGTTGTTGATGCAGGTATATTTTTTTATAAAAAAAATCTTAAATAGTTTCGTTGGGAAATATTTGCGAAATTTTAGTCTATCTGTTATTTTTTATGTAGTATTTTGTGTTCGATATTTGAATTAAAATTCATATAAACAATTTCGTGTGTTCGAAGCACTTTTCATATTATCTAATTCAAAGACAGAATTATTCTTTTCAATGTAATTTTTGTTTTCTGTTTATGCATACACTTTGAACCAAAAAAAGTATTTGGCAGTATTTACTGTGTATTGGGTCATTAAACATCAATTGGTGAAATTAAAGCATTAATTGTATACAAGATACGAACTTCATAGTCGGCAGTCATCAGTAAGTTGTAAGCTTAACTGTCTGCATGCGTCAATTTATATCATATAACAATCTAAGCTTTCCTTTTTTTATATATTTTTCCAGGTCCAGGCTTAGCATTTATTGCATACCCGGAAGGAATAGCTAGAATGCCTTTTGCTCCACAACTCTGGGCATTTTTGTTTTTCTTCATGCTTTTTACACTGGGACTCGATAGTCAGGTTGGTTTGCTTCCAACAAATTGTAATTTTTAAATAATGTGTTGTTCTCTCATCTGATCATATTTTTGGGGAAAACATTCCGATTAGCCAGTTATATTCAAACTAGAACTAACAATATTGCTGTGTTTAATGCGCTTTTCTGAAGAAAAAAATCGTTTATAGTAAAAACAGAGGTAGGTTTAAAGATTTATATTTTTCCCAAATTCTGTAAAAAATGCAAATAGTGTTATGAAATGAAGTAGAAAGACTAAATTTTTATTTAAAGACCATATACATTTACAACACTCGACAAATGACGTAGACATTTCAGCTAAAAGTTTACACTTTATTTATTACGGGATACGAGTATTATTACAATAATCTTTAGCTACAAGTATTGGTATAGTTATCAATTAATAGTGATACTGTGTTATTAAATAGATATGTCATCTGATTGTTTGGCCCACCTAAATAATGTATGTTATGTGTTGTGTTTGACGTTGCCATTAAAGCGGGAGGTTCAACCCACCATTTTTTTCTTAAAATGTCCTGTACCAAGTCAGGAAAAACGCCATTGTTATATTATAGTTCGTTTCTGTGTGTGTTACATTTTAATGTTGTGTTTTTGTTGTGTCGTTGTTCTCCTCTTATATTTGATGCGTTTCCCTCAGTTTTAGTTTGTATAGTTCTATCGATTTATGAGTTTCGAACAGCGGTATACTACTGTTGCCTTTATTTATGGTAAAGTTAAAGTTTGATAACTGCATGTTCACATTATACGTATCCCCCAGTAACAGGCGTGTACTCCCAGCACAAAAACTTCAAGGTTATGAGGAAGAACGACTAACATCGACACTATACATGTTTAATTGCCACCATCACAAATTGGTAAACAGAAAAGACGTGTCTGTATTTCAACTCACGGGAGAAAATTTACATCGTGCTAAGATCTTAAAATATCAAAGCCGTCGTCTGATCGTGTCATATTATATATCATGTTTGACTGAGTTTATATTCACATAACAGGTGAAGCATGATGCATGTAGCAACAGACGCTTACCTTGTCGAAGAACCCGGATTCGCTCTGCGATTCTCTCTTTTTTTATATCTTGATTTGTAAATTGAAAATTATTTTTAAGAGTTTGAACATCTGGACACTACTGTTGCCTCTCACGTATGATTTATGCTTAACTTCTTCAAACACTATAGATTGAACATATAATCTCATGGTGAAAATAATAGTTGTATGTTATTATAAATATACACTGAAAGCCGACTATTACTTTTTTTCTTTCAACTATTCAGTTAATTTTGTTTTGTTAGTTTAATTTTGGTCCTTTCAACACAGAAGCAAAAAATTGATACTGGCCAAACTATCCAAATTTAATGTGCAAAGTGCAAATAAATTCATATCCCAAGAAACAGTCAAAACAGTAATATACATGTTGAAATCAGATATTTATTTATTACCTGCAGTTTGCTATGATGGAGACAGTTATTAGTGATTTATTTATTACGATGGAGACAGTTATAAGTGATTTATTTATTACCTGTAGTTTGCTATGATGGAGACAGTTATAAGTGGCTTTGTTGATACCTTTCCATCCTTTCTGAGACCAAAGAAGGAATTGTTTACTTTATTCTGTTGTACAATTGGATTTCTAGCAGGACTGCCACAAGTAACAAAGGTATACACCCATGTTGATTATTATTGTTAGTTTATGACAGTTTGGCAGCTGCGTTGTTAGGCAATAGAAGAGCGATACCTACGTATATTTTCGAATAAATAAAAATTCAAACTGTCAGATATTCTTCAGAAATTTACAAATTCTTGTTAAAAATTATCCAGACTTTGAACATGATTCAATAAGTTCATGCCTTAGTGAGTGCAAAATCTAAAGTAATTACAAAAAAATTCACCAATAATAAAAAATTCTCAAGTTAATCATCTTTCGTTTTAAAATCAACAATTGACTACTGGTAAGTGAAGTATAGTTTAAATGGGTAATGAAAAAGGCGAGAACAGTCTTCCGAATATTTCATATTTTGCTAAAAAGATTACCGAAAATGTAAGGTAATTGATGATAATGGACATGTTTTGTTAGAAATGAAAATAAATTATTATAACATAATCAGTACCAATTTTATTGCACCAGATGCGCATTTCGATAATTGCTGCCTCTTCAGTGATGCTCGAAGCCAAACTATTTGAAAGTCCAAAACGTTATAAAAACGTTGAAGAGTTGGTAAAACAAAAAAGGACCAAAGTAAAGCCGAACCCGGACAATGGTTTAATCCTATACAAATAATGAAACCATATGTCCGCAGCCAATGGTGTTTACAAATCACAGTAAGATTGGTATGGCCGAGTGTGTTCTCAATATTGCAGTTTCTCTAACAGAAATATCTATTTATTCCCACACTACTACCTTCAACAAGTCAATTTGTGATAAAAACTGCGATTATCAATCACAAGCTATATGGTCGCCATCACAAATAGGTTTATTGTTACAAATGTTTCATATTTTTAACCTACCAGAGCCATTTTGATTCTTAAGGATCCCTTCTTTGATCTTTCTGCCATTTTTTTTTATTGATTTCGTCATGTTCTTGGCTATATAAACGTATAAGGGAAATACATGTACCCAGTATAAACACTTTGTGTGGACTTTCTTGTTTCAATTTAAAGCGGTTGTTTAATCCATTCTCCGTAAGCATCCGTACTTAGCGTTACTGACGACGTTACACTGCCATTGTACTTGATAAGACTATAGCAAAACAAATACACCTTGTAAACCATCAATACAAACTCTTGAAACAAACTTGTTTTGGTTTTTAAAGCATATTTTTATCAAACAATTGCCTGTTTTATTTTACGTAGGGTGGAATTTACTTATTAACGTTGGTTGATTGGTATGCTGGGAGTTACAATCTTATGATTGTAAGTATAGCTGAGATCGTCGGTGTCTGTTATATCTATGGTGAGTTTAATTAATGTAACCATATTGTTGATCCCTTAATGGTGTAGACTACAATATTTACTTTTTGCTTTTTACACTATCTTCATACTGTGCAATTTGAGAAAACTGATCATTTCAGTAATATTCTGTTGGTTTTTTTCATGTATTATCTTCAGCCAAAATTCATATTTTTTTATAGTAGCACTTTTTTGTAGGAGAGTGGAAGCTTTGGGTAGAACACTTTCGTCAAATATTTCTTGGCTTCATTGAAAAGTAATTATTTTACATTTGGTCTGCAGTTTGATAATGTTGAGTTGTAGCGTTTGAGCAATTTTTATTCTTATACCATCCAGCTTCTTCCCGTTTGTCGACAATTTAGAATTTTACAACTTTCAATTGTAAACGCATTCGTCGATCTTTTCATGGCTTCTATGAAAACAATTTTATATTTGGTGTAGAGCTTGGTAACGTTGAACAACGATAATGGTCTTCGTAGGGCATCTTTACGAATATCTAAATACAAATACAATGTACATTACTTTGGTGAAGAAAAAAAGGCCTGTCTTTCATGACGAATTTAAAGATTTTTATTTTATTTTGTTATTACATTTATTTCCCATGATTTCAACTAAAAAAACAACGACCAACTAAATCAAGGATAAAAGTTAAGAAATGTTCAATTTAAATTAATTTTTCAGTGCTTGTGAAGTCACCACAAAACGCAAATCCTATATTCGTTAAAAAAAAAAATATTTTTTCCACAAAAATATTCGAAAAATTTGTTAGGAAAGTTAGAATTCAACATAGATAGTCTGGGGAGATTGTTTTTACCAAAACTTTTATCATTTACTTAATAGCCCATTTTTTTTTTAGTTGAAATCATGGGAAATAAATGTAATAAAAAAAATCTTCCTTTCTTTAAAATGTCCTTCAATTGTTCTGGCATTCGCACAGCGGAAGTGCAAAGGGAAACCCCGTGGCGAAAGAAAAAGTAAACAAACGTTGAATGAAGATAGTAATAACCGATTCTGAAAGAAAAAAATCAAGACATCAAAGCATTTAACAACTGTTATGGCAAAGTTAAATTAACAATTGGGGTGCACAGAAAATATAAAAGAAACAAATAAACAAATATACCTTGATTGTTTCAACAATTTCCTGAACAATAATTACCAGAAACTTGTTTCATATGAGTTCCAACAATAAAACAGTAACATGTTGTGGGTTTTTTTTTTTTGCATTTTCGGAATGTTTATACAATAATAAACTTAAATTTTATGTAAAAAAAAACAATTTTGAATATTGACTGTATTGTTTTTTGTGAAATAGTCTATTCTATCTATTTAACATTACAAAGAAAATTGCTTTGTCATATGATTTAAAATGAAATGCATCTGGAAAAACAGTCCTTCGAAACATCGAGTCGAATCAAGTTTAAAATTATTTGTATCATAATTGATGTTGAATTATTTAGCGTGCATCATCACATAGTTCCTTGAATAGAAAATCCACCAAATCTGATTACTTTGGAAAATATACTTATACTTGTCTTCTCTTTCTAAAAATATGATTAAAATGTATAAACTCGTATTGAATTGAAAATCCTAAATCATAGAACCAGTGGCAATACATGTACAGTTGAGGGTAAGTGTAACAGGAAAATGAACAACATGGAAAGAGACTTTACTTATAAATAGTATACCTGACACCTAAGACTAATTAAACTTTTACAACTTAAAAAAAGAAATTAAAATTTATAATTATGTTATACCATAAAAAAATGTTATGATTATGTCCTATTAAAAATTTTATTCTTGGTTGCAGGAGTAAATAACTTTAGAAAAGACATTGAGATGATGTTAGGAAAACAAAATGTAATTCTTATGAGTTATTGGTTTTGTACCTGGATGTTTGTTACACCTGTTGCGATTACAGTAAGTTGCAAAACATGTGTCTGTATGGTATCATTTTAGTTTCCTTGTGAATAATTGTGTTTTCTGCTTTTCAATATAACTGCCTTAAATCAAAACAGAAATTGACATTCCTTAATTTAACAGAAAACAAACTACACCATCACTATAAACTTTGCCCCTATATATTGGAACTTGTGGAATGCGATTTGGCTTTCTACATTGTTCTAAATGTTCTTTTCTTTATTCTGTATATGCCTGTCCCAAGTCAGGAGCTTGTAATTCAGCGGTTGTCGTTTGTATATCATATTTTTTTTTATTTATTTTTTTTTATGTAGATACTATTGTTTTTCGTTTAAATTGTATTACATTTGTCATGGGCCCTTTTAAGCCTGCTATGCGGTATGGGTTTTGTTCATTGTTGACATATAGTTGCTATCTCATTTAGTTTTTGGGTTTTTGGTAGAAAGTGGTCTCATTGGCAATCATAACACATATTTTTATTCTTATATCTATTCTCTATATCCTATATTATACCGATACAATATATATATATATGAAAACAAAAGTACAAGCACAACCATATAAACAATTCCGTAACAACGTAAGTTACAGGAAAAAGCACAAAATACTGAACTTATTAATATGAAGTCATGTTGTTCTAAACTATAACTAATAAAAATATGCTATAAAAAAAGAGAAAAAGAAAAACAGTTCAATATAAAATATCAAACAAAGTCCAAATGACGAGGATTTAAGCAATTATATTTCACCGTACGGCCTTCAACAATGAGCAAAACCCATACAATATAGTCAGCTGTAAAGGATCAAGACATTACAAAATGTGATTCCTGTTTCTTGGTACAAGCAAGAATAGATTACTACTCAGTACGTTCTTTCTAACTTAATTTTTCTGAACTATTTCTCATTAAAAACTTGAATCGGTCTGACTGATTTCTGTGTGTATAAAATAAAATTAGATAAAAAAAAAATTTCTTCTCAAAATGAAAATAAAAACAATTCTGGATCAAAATTGCTAATCTAGACCGGTTATGTGCCTTATTCATTTAAGTTGTCAGTCAAGATTGTGGAATACTTCCATGCTCTCTTATATACCTTAAGCTTGGAGTACTAAGGGTACACAGAGAATGCATTAAAGCAAGTACAAAATATTAGTCTCTTAAAACAAGGTGATTCATTTTTCACTTTTAGTTCATCGTATTCATGTCAGCCCTAAGTTATACTCCAGCTGGTTACGGAGATTACGAATTCCCAGGTTATGCACAGGCTCTAGGATGGTTAATGTCGTTGTCTCCAGTAGCTATTATTATAGTAATAATGATCGCACAGATAATACGGAAAGGGGTAGGTAAAATAAATATCAATACAAATTCGTATATTTCCAGATCCAGATTATTTTTGATGTAGTTGTGATATACTACAATACTATCTTTATATGAAAAGTATAATAATGAATGTCTAGACTACTCAATCTCATCAGTACCATTCGAACTAACTTCCAGTATATTTAAATACTGGATTACACGATTGTTTGTGGGTGGTTTTTTTTCTACTTATCATACAATTTTACAATATATTTTACTCCTTTTATATCAATTTAAGCAATAAGAAAATTTTCGCCATTCAATTTAAAACTTTCAAAATGTTAAATCACTTGATGCCTGATATTTTTTCTTTATTATTTCAGTTTCCAGCAGTAGTGAAAAGTGAGCCCAATTGGGGTCCAGCTTTAGATGAAGACAGAGCTTTAGATCCCATTAGATATAAACCCATACGGCGTGGACGATACCAACCAAATAACGATATTCAAGACATTAACGGCCACACAAATATTGCCTTTATTGGTGATGAAAAAATTAAATACATACCACATGAGACAAACTAATTTGAATAATACATCCTGGATCAAAATTGTCGTTTCAATAATGGAAACATACAGGATAAGATAACTTTATATAAAAAAAATATCTTAATGAACTAAGTTTTTATATACCGATAATATGCTTTTAGTATAACAGTATGCATATATGCTTAAAACTATTAATGTAATATCATAATAAAAACTCCTCAACCATGGACTCGGTCGCGAAAAAGTTGTATAATTTTACGGATAATTGCTTAACCGTTATCAAGTGTATTGGCACTCTTCTTACAGAATTGACTAGCTGTCAACATCTAGGGCTTTGGTATATACATAATGTGAACAAGACAATACCTTTATACATTATGTAATTGCACTAACTCCTAAGTTGCAAACTCCATCGGGCAACGATGACTTTAAACACTTGTGATAAGTCCGCTTCTCAATATTTTAGTAATTTTGCACCGTAAATTTTCTCGATCGAGTGTACCTGATAAAGGTTAATCCAGAAATACAAATGTACATGTTCTAAGAATCGGAATCAGTAGCATTCATTTGTATTAAAACATTTCAACTGAAAGGAATTCGACATGAATAATATTTACAGAATATCCGTGCTAATTTGGAAGATTATTAGTTCTATCCATTGTTTTTAAATATTTTAAATGCATACCCTAATTAAATTGAGTCACGTGAAAATAATGTTTTATTCGTTTCTATCAAGTACGAAAGTTTTTTTTCTTATTTATCAAATAAACTTACGCAAAAAAAGAAAAACAAAATTGCTGTATATGTTTTTATTTTGTTTTTTTATTTATTGTTGCCTGATTATGGACATTTGTCCTTGTCAAGCTCTATTGTTATCTTCTTATTTTTTTAAAGTAGCTTCAATAAACAAAATTAAACTTACACCTAAAAAAACACCAAAACACAATTACAATTTGACATTTCATATTTTTAAAATCTCATGTTACCCGGCACTACGATACGTATCATTCTGGCACAATAAAACAAATGCACCATAGGTTTCTTTAAAATCTTTTTCTGTGCAAACTGTAGCTTTCTACCCAACGTATGTCCAAAAAGTAAAATAACAAAAAAACGAACTCCAAGGAAAATTCAAAACGGAAAGTCCCTTATCAAATCGCAAAAAAAAAGCTCAAACACATCAGACGAATGGAAAACAACTGTTATATACCTGACTTGGTACAGGCATTTCCTTGTGTAGAAAATGATGGATTAAACCTGGTTTTACAGCTAGCTACACCACTTACTTGTATGACAGTCGCATAAAATTCCATTATATTGACAACAATGTGTGAACAAAACAAACAGACGTAGTAGGCAAAAATGTCAAAATTTTTGAAGATCTTATTTAAGTACTAGTCAAAATCCAAAATATGAAAGAAAAGTCCTGAAACCATTCGAAATAACAAATTTTGAACATATTTTTTTGAATTGTAAGAGGTTTTTTTTCATGTACACACCAAGTTTTTCTGATCATTTGAATTAAAATCCAAAATGACTGGCTTTATGATGGAAGTATGCAAATATATCGGGATTTGTTTTCCGTCATTTTGATTATTCAGTCTTACATAAAACTTAGCCAGAAAAATAAGGATACATACTTATTTCTTATCCTTTCCTACCCACAAAAATACAATTTAGCCAAATTATTAGCGAAAACGACTGCAGAACAACCCACAAGATAACTGAATGAAAGAACGTTAAATCAAAAACTACGTTATAAATATTTCCCGCTACAACGTAACTAAAAGCAATAAAACTGGAATAACACTAGAAAAATAATAACAACGGAATACAATGGCCAGTTGCCTCATTTTGATACGAACCCTTATCAACAAAACATCTCATGTATCTGATCTAATTGACAGTAATTTATGATATATGTAAACGATAGATGTCTCTATTTTAAATATCTTTAAAATAACTTAGAAAAGATGTATTGTATCATGTTTAATATTTCCTCATTTTGTATCCATATCTTGAAAAAAAAAGTAAAAAAGACAAAAAGACAAAAAGACAAAAATTACAAAAGAACAACATCAATCATACGTTTGTTAATACTTAAAAAAAAACAGGTAAGACAGACCTTCCGACCTACAGAAGTACATGTAATTGCTACTTAGCGCTCGTCAGTAAAATTACAATAGTAATGTAGAAAATTACAAAAGACCAGGAGCCCAGGTTGTGAATACGAGACACGGAGCAGACATTGTATTTTAAATGAGGAAATGAGGTTATTTGCCCAGCCAATTAGAACACCGTTCATGTAATTTAATGAATTTTCGTAGAACTATAATCATAATATATTTATAACGGTATATCTTACTTCAGCTCAGTTGTAGTTTGACTTTAGTATCAGTAAGATCATTATCCCACTACACAATAATGTTACAATAAAAGAACGATTTTTCTAAGCGACCTTTTAATATTTCTTGTACATAGTGGCGGTCCCCTCTATCTTCTGACTTTTATACATAAGCAATTGCACCCTATGACATTGATTCTTGAATAATAACTCAAGAAACTTAAGTCAGAAAGAAGTAATTAAAAGTATCATACGGATTTTAAATAGTGGCAATCTAAATGATATAATAGAGAAACATCTAAATTTACGAGAAAAATACATTGATTTCCGACATATTTCAAATAATTATTAGCGAAAACGACTGCAGAACAACCCACAAGATAACTGAATGAAAGAACATTTAATCAAAAACTACGTTATAAATATTTCCCGGTGCAATGTTTGTCTAAATCTATAACACCTTTCATGTTAATATTTTTGTGGTTCTTGCATGTGTTCAATATTTCCCATTCACTAATCTATGTTGAAATGTGCAAGTTCTGACCTTCAAATACCCGTCAATATTCAAAATTATTCAAAGATTTTACTTTGCACATACTTGTCATTTATATTTACATCACAATCACTTCAATTTGGAATAATTTCATTTTATTTTTTTTTTGCTGTAAAGGGCTCTTAGCACACCTCTTTTGAGATACTGCATGCTCGTTTTTCTTTTGTCTTTTTTCACACTAATTAAGGAAACATTGCATTTCATATTGTATAACTGAAGAAAACAGTGCTTTACTAAACAATTTAGTAAACTAAGGTTGCAACTCCCTAAGGTAAAGTAAACATTGAACAATTATGGCTGTTCGATCTAGACCATTTCGGACTTTAAGCTCTCAAACGTTTTTTTATGTTTGGCTTTCAAAACTTTTGGTCTCGAGTGCACCTGATAAAGGATATTCAATATACACATTTTCGGCACACGAAAATCATCATAAATTCTGAGAAACATAAACCAATCTCACACTACATTCTACAATGATCAAGTTTAGTGTGCACCCGACTGGAGTTATCAGTTATATGTAAAAGTAGCTGTACTCTGAAAAAAATTATGCTTTTGATGTCATTGTTTACTTAAACTAACAAATAAGATTGCAGAAATGAAGCTTTTGGTGAAAGAAAAATATGTTTAGACCATTTTGTGCCAAAATTTACTTGTCTGTGATTTTGCATTAAAAAAAGGGATTAATGAGCTCCACAGTATACTTATTTCCAGAAAACCAGGTGTTACTTTTAGTAGCAGTTCACTTCCGAACGGTATCGTTCACTACAAGACATTGGTTGAAAATTGGCATATATTATAATACAAATAATCATACATATTTATTATAAGGTTAAATCCTAACTATCCTACTGCCTGTCGTTACTTTTATTTTGGCATTGCACAAGTCATGTCTTCTTTGACTGTCCATGGCGTTAAAACACTTAATCTCTGTCTGGGATGTGTTTTAATTGATTTTAGTCTCTGATGTATGATTTTTTTATTATTAATGTTTTGGTTTTAATGAGCTTAATCTACTAGTATGTATTACTAATAAATTGTTAAGTCAGGGATTTCGTTACCACAAATTACTTAAAACCTTTACTAAATTCTTTCATAGATACAGAGATTAGGTCTGCAAGTTTGGCTGTACCTGTAAAAAACTTATTTCAAACGGAATAGCACATCCTAATTTTACGGTGATGTTGAAAAACCGAGCCCGGAAATTTGGATACGATCCGGGTAAACTTATCAATCCTTTAAATAAACTTATTCTGAAAGGTTACCTATTCAACACTGTAATTAAATCTTTGAATATTGTTTTTATTGGTGTAAATATTGATTTTGTTATCAATAAATTAAAACCAAACTAAATATTATATATATGCACCTTCACGGTACTACAATCTGTCGATACTTATAGTTTGGCATTGCACAAGGTCATGTTTTTCTCTGACGGTTAATGACGTCTTTGCACTAAATCCATTGGATGTTGGATGTGTACTGATTGATATTTTGATCTTAGATACATGATTTATTTCATTAGGTGTAATTGGCTTTGAACTAGCTGTCAGTAACTGCGAGTACTCTCAGATCTGTACTTCGTGTCTTTTTGTTTTTGGGATGTATAAGTCCAGCCACGTCTACTTTGTGTTTTTGTTAGATGTATTTCTATTTGTATCCATCTGATGAGTCAAGCCTTTTTTAACTGATTTTTATAGTTTGTTCTTATGTTGTATTGTTACACCACTGTCCCAGGTTAGGGGAGGGTTGAACGCACACACACATGTTTAACCCCGCCACATTCTTTATGTGCCTGTCCCAAGTCATGAGCCTGTAGTTCAGTGGTTGTCGTTGGTTCATGTTTGTCATATTTGTTTTTCGTAAACTGTTTTCTTATAAATTAGGCCGTTAGTTTTCTCAATTGAATTTTTCATATTTTCATTTCGGGGCCTTTGATAGCCAACCATATGGTATGGTTTTTTTTCATTGTTGAAGGCCTTACGGTTGCCTTTAATTGCTTACGTCCACTTCATTTGAACTTTGGTGGATAGTGGTCTCATTGGCAATCATACCACATCTCCTTATTTTTATATTCAGTAACTGTGAGTACACACAAATCGTACTTTCGTGTTAATTTGACTTGTTGACACAATTTGTAATGCATTTCTGTTATTCAAAGTTTACTTATTTTGTGTTATATCTTGTCTTACTATTTTTAAAATGTACCACCTTTGATAAGTATTAAGTATGACGATAAATTTTGCACTTCTGTGCTCGTACTGTGAACAAGAAATTTATTTTGTAAAAAAATGTTTCTGTACTCCTAACAACAAAATCATTATATTTAAATTTACCTGTGTACGTTACTTTATTTAACGCCATTTTGTCCTAGGTTAAAGTTGTCTTTTTGACATTGATACATCTTTTTTTATTTGTATTGTATTTATATTGTGTCATAGATCAAACTTATGCGTTTAGTGTATATTTACTTGTTTTTATGTATATGTCTTTTTGATCGAGTTAAGCCATTTCAATTGATATTTTATTGTGTGTCTTTTTATGTTATAATGTTACACCACTGTTTCAGGTTAGGGTGAAGGTTGGCGCCTGTTAAAACGTTTAAACCCGCTGCATTTTTATGCACCTGTCCTAAGTCAGGAGCCTGTTGTTCAGTGGTTGTCGTTTGTTGGTGTGGTTCTTAAGTGTTTCTCGTTTCTAGTTTTTTATATAAATTAGACCGTTGGTTTTTTTGTTTTATACTAGTCATTTTGGGGCCCTTTATAGCTTGCTGTTCGGTGTGAGCCAAGGCTCCGTGTTGAAGGCCGTACTTATATATAGAAAGGTGAAACATGTAGAATTCAGGATATACCTGTTTTTTTTTAAGTTAAACTTAATGTAAAA